TAGTTGTTGTGCTGTAAGCAAATGTTATTTTTTTATGTATATTCCTGTAGGCAGTGTCTGCGTTGTTAAGTGCCAATGTATTTCTCAGTTAACTGCATATATTTTTAATCTTTTTCAAACTTTAAAAGTGATAAATTTGCCCTTATGAGGTGGGATAAAATTTGAGCAATTTGGATGTTGTTTGTTAATTGGATTTTTGTCTAGTTCTAAAAATAGCAAGTTTCAACTGTATGTTACCTGATATTTTTAGGCTTTGATAATGTTTGACCACTGAATATTCCCAGATATACCACTCACACACACACGAAAAATAGATTCGATCGGAAAGCAAGTAAAAATCTAAGTACTGTAGTTAAATGATACAAACCGTAAGAAATTTTACAAGTATAGGAATTAAATCCTATATATGTCTATACATTTTCCAGCCAACAAAATACCATTAGAAGGTTTGTTGGATAAACAATCATTACAAAGGTAAATACCGCCCAAATACTTGCGGACGTAGTTGTAGACATACAACGTGTTATTTTTGGACCATTTAAAAATAACAATAATAACTCCCTTAACCATTTCGAAAAATTCGATGAAAAAGATTTTCGCGAGTCAGGGGGAAATTATTTTCTAACTAATGAAAACATTGTATTACAAAATTTCACACCTCTATGGGAAATTATATTTCGAATGTCCTTACGGATATAAAATAGAAACATTCACGGTGCGCAAAACAACTTCGGAGGCCAGTTTGATCTGCACACCCGTACACACACGCGTACACACACGCGTATCGAGACACACGCACATAATGGAAGAGACGACAACCAAAAACTGCCGATTAAGGCTTGTCTACACACACAATAGAAATGAATAACCAGTAGTCGCAAACTAAAGCTTCCTTTACGAACTCACAATCATATTAGGCTGACCGTTATAAACTATGTCTGTACATACATTTCACGCAGTACTAGGAACACTTAATTACTTGATAAAACAAACTTCACTGCGAGGGAAATTGAATATTTTATTGTGATTGTATATTTCTGAAACGAATATATAAATATTATTTTAACTAACTTTCTGCTACAAATTTTCCTTCGTCGAATAACCTTCTTTATGTTTCATTTAAAAGATGTATTGTGTTGTTAAATGTTTGTAATCCTGACACTCATATAGCAACAAGAACCTGGGCAGATGGATCCATACACAAGATGTCTTTCGTAAAATAGTTGTCAGCATTAAGATATGATAAATTTAAACACTGATATTTTCAAACAACTGCCATGATTCAGCCTAAACAATTCACGAATTTAATTTCTTTCAAGTATCGATATTCCAGGTATGCTCTAATCTATCTAGTTATGTTTATTCAGGTTAAATTGGAAGAAGGCAAGAAAACAGTTACTTTCGTCTTTATTTAAACCATAATTCTTTATTTATGTTGGAGAAATCTGTGTAAATCTGCCTACATTCTTGGATATAAATTAGTGCTTACGATTAATTTGAGAGTTATCAGCGGCCAGTTCGGAATTAAAATATTTTTCTTTCAAAACGTAAGAACCACAATAGGAAAATCTTTTTTTTGTGTGCTTTGTTTGTTAAACCTTGTGTAAATATGAACAATCCTAAAACTTCTTAATATTCTCCCGATGAAACTTGTTTTGTTCAGCTGCTTAAAACCTAAAAATATATCAAAACTATAGAAACTGCAAGCGGCTGTGTGAAGGAGGTATACTGGATCCAAAGAATGATGCAATCGAAGAAATTATCTCAAAGCTGTTGCAATATATTATAAACCGCCTGAAACAATTTCGAACAATTCTGTAGTTGTTTAAAAATAAATTTCATAACTATAAAAAAAATATTTTTACTATTTTAAAAATGTTATCGTTGAATAAACATTTAATCGTCTATGTTGTTTTTTTAATACACGTTCTTTTGGTAGAAGAGTATTTTTATGAAGGCCAGACGATTTGTGTAAAAAATTGTTACACGTTTAAATCTTTTTCGGTTCAGCGGTTAAAACACACCAAAATTCTGAACAATGCATTTCCAGTTTAAAGAAAATTATTTTTTCGTATAAACTGACCAATGAGAGAAGTAGTAACAATCTGAATAGTGTGTGGGATGGGAGCGGGGCTTGTGTGCCTAATGTTTCCAAATATATAGAGCTCAGGTCAGTAGACATGAGGAGAAGACGTTTTAATAGCAAGGGGAATAATGCAAATCGACATCAAGAAGGCATTAGATGTCAAGAAGAGAACATCAAGAAGACACCATTTAGCTGCAGAGAGACTAAAGAATTTTGATATTCAAGCGTAAATATCACTCTCTTTGGACAACAACGAAAGAAAAATAATTTAAAGAAAATTACTCTATGTCCCAGAGACGCTTGTGGGGCAAGTAAAAATAGAGTTCATGTTTTTTTCTGAAATGTAGTTGCATCTTTGTTTTTCTGCCTTGTATTGTTTTCTCTTTTAGTCTTTTTCAAAATCCTTTTTTTTTCCCAAACTTTTCAATGTTTCGGTGGTAATATTTTTTATCAGAAATTGTTTTCCTGACTTAATTGGCGCAAAAAGGAATTTTGGTTCAAATTTTGTATTTGTGCCTTTTTTGTAATTGTGTAATAAAATTTATGACCTGCTATTCCTAGTAGCTAAGTTTTTTTTAAACAAGAACTTAGATTTGGTAGGGAATAAATTTTTATATTTTGCACAAAAGACATATGTGGTCTTTGTGTAATTTAAATTTTTTTTAATATAACTCTTCATCTACCTGATGTTCCTTCTCAGAATCTTAGATTAAATACTGAATGCCGATTTAGCTTCTAAAAAATCTCGAACTTGTTATTCGCCTATCTGCTTTTCCTATATTTCATTAAGGTAATTTTTTAACAAGGGTAGGCAAAAGCAAACACATTTTCATTTCCTGGACTAACGTAACTCGACCATAAATCTTTAATTCGAAATGAGGATGGCTTTTTCCTGACCATCAACAAGACATACAGACAATCTTTCAAGATGGCTAATCTCGTAGGATCTGTCCATGCTTCCATGGATTTCTTTTAAACATTATGTCCCCTCAGGATATATGCGATCATGACTCTTCATAGATTGATTTTTTTCTATGGATTGCTGCGCATTCGGAGATTCCTTCTCAGATTCTGGTTAACGCCGAAAGTTATTGAGCCATGAACCACTATTTGGTGAGATAAGACACAGAGAAATGACTAAAGTACATTTATGTGAAAGTGAATACAATAGACTAGAAGGAAAGTACGGTGAGGCTGGTGGTTACTGACTATCCTAAACCTAGCTCATCTGATTAACGACCCACTCATTCATTACAATTTAATCATACACCACAAGAACAAGCCCCTACATTTACCAAAATGCCACATACACACAGGAGAACCTACTAAATCCCCACGATGTAACAATTTATGGATATTTAAAATTTTAAGTCAAATAGTGTGAATACGTATTTACTTCTTTATCTATATTGCTGATTATTAATATCCAACAAGATTCATATCAAGAATATTTTGTCGAGAGAATTACTTAATAACTTTTCTGTTTACAGCTACGTAGACTTGAAACATAGTTTCCTAATACGATCACCGAAGTTAAAAGACATCGAACCTGATCGGTACGTATATGACTGACCGCTTGAAAATACCAGATGCTGTAAGCTTGGATGTGCGGCTGGTGTAATGGTTAATATTTCATGATTGTTAATCGGAGAGTCGTGTACCAATTCCAGTTGGGTTCATTAAATTCCTAACAATCTGAAACTATTTTCTGGCTTAAAATAACCTGCAAGGTATTGATAAGCCGTAGAAACGAATCAATCAATCAATAAATGCGTTTTCGAATTATGTTGTTGTAGTTCATCCATCAATAAACATCATACAGAAAGTATATGTATTTTTATGCATTAATATTCCTTACACTCACCAAACTTTTTCATCGATTAATAATCAACAGTTTTCCTTCATTATAATTTATAAAGCAACATGTTTGGTAGCAGATTAGAAGTGATTAAAACATCTGAACTCAGTTGTGTTCAGATCCATACATGACTGCTGTGGGACAACGAAGCAAAGAAAATGTTAATGTGATAAGAAAAGTAGAGCTAAACTAAAATGGCTTGTCTACAGTCTTATTTTGTCCTGAGTTTCTATTTTCTGATTTAAGAAATGTCACTTTGTCATAATCTAATGTGATGAAACCGGACTGCTGCGTTTTTGAGTTGAGTTCCATAAATTTATATCTTATATCAACCTTTTGCTGGCCCAACTCAGTCAGAACTAAACTCAGTAATTTTCTAGAGAATTATACAAAATGTGTCTCTGTTGAAAATGGAATTCCAAGTTTTAATACTATATAATACTGGCTTATTCCGCTTGCAGATTGACAAGAAATAATAGTCCATTGGAAATTTAAAAAATCCAGTGCCTCTGAAATACGAAACAGGGTCATATGATCATGTGCTTATTTCTCTTATGGTTTATTGTAAAGTACTTTATTGTCAATAAGTAATTTCAACTTGTTCACATAAAGTTCTCTGACCTATGGAGATATATTTTCTCTATTAGCATTCAATTCGAATATAGTATACTATTCAACAAGGGAAAAAGTAATCGATAAAGACTGACGATTTCCTTTACATCTTAACTAAGCTACCAACACAGAACGAGGAGAGAAGTTTGCTTTTATCTCCAAACGACAACAGGAAGCCAGTGCTTCTTAGAGAGTATACTAAGCACTTGAGATCTTATGCTTCAAAGTGTATCTACCATTCTATGTTGAATATACATGTATACTGTAGATATCTGTGTGAAAGTAACCACTAGTTGTACTGTAGATATATGCGATACTGGAAAACTACTAAAGAGAACACAATGCATACACTCAGAAAATCCAAGCCACACATAAATTAACAATTTGATAATGGGCTATGAAAGTTGAAAGCGCTCAGAAGGTATTGGACATTTTATCTGGACATCAGAAAATATGTGAAGAAAAGGAAAGAGGAAGAGAGAAGGGGTTACTTACGGACGGGTTGCTTGAGCCTCCAGGGGGAATTGTGTCCAGCTAAACTGGAACCAAATGACCAACTGATATTTATGGTTGTGGGAAGCCTTGGTCGGAGGAGGATTGTGGGGAAGCAGTTAGCCTCCTTATAAAAACCCTCCTCTGTATTCTGATTGACCTATTTTCTCTATCAGCCGACACGTGACTGGTTATTTGTCGTGCTGAAGGATTATTCTTTTTTCTGCTCTGTTACTCGACCTAGTTGGAGCAGGTCGCAAAAGAGGAGGATTCCTTTTGCAACCCTTACCAGGCTGTCGCTGCTCTCTTCTGGGTTTTCCCCTACTTTACTGTGTCGAAAGTTTTTTTCCGACAAATAGTAAAATAAATGTTAGAGAACTTTTGTTGATCTTCAATCAAACTTACATCAAAGTTATATGATGTCTAGGTGAGACAGTTTTTGACTGAAATTTATTGAACAATGTATTTGAATCCTTCCTCGAGGAATCACTCCTGACATCTGTGGAAGGCGCGTCCTTTGTAAATCGGAGACGAAGGAATTAGTTCGAAGCAATCACAAATTTCTAAGTTAATTTCAAAGAAATTGAATTTGATTTTGTTTATTAAAGTAAGATTTAATAAGGAATAACAATAAACCCATTTCAAATTATTTCACCAGAAAAGATCATTTCTGAACGAAAGGGAAACAAATCAATTACAATAATTTTATAGATTTTATATATAATTAACTAATCACGATTGATTATCACTGATATATATCTTCTGAATTCTACTTCTATGGGCAAGATATTTGTGTATTTGCTATAGAAGGAGTTCGAGCCAGGGTAAAAGCAAGAGTCATGAATACTTAAGGTAAAAAGATAGATAGATCCTCATCAGTTGTAATCACAGTCTTCTTGTTTTCATTTTATCTATCTCCATTTGGCCTAACATCATACCATTCTTGAATTATTTCCATTCGTAAGTGAAAAAGAAGAGTAACAAGGTAAGATTTAAATGCAGAAAGATGTTACAATTTAACAAAACTGTTTTCCAACCTGGGTAAGCAAAACAAGAAAGATGAAGAAAAGAAAAGCGAACAAATCGAACAAATAAAACAAATAAGAGAAAGCAGAAAGAAAAGAATAAATGAAAGAGAAAGCGGAAATTCTTCAGGGAAGAACAATAGACCGAAAAGATAAAAGAAAAAAAAATAGTACATAAAAGGAAAAAGAAGGAAAACTAAAAACATGCCACAACGAATAAATCAATTGAAGTCTCTGTCTCGCAGTGAATTTGTCAGTGGCCCAAGCCTGAAGAAATGAAAGTTATAGCCACATAAAATTCCTTGACATCAAAGAAATACTTCGATAGAATGAACGCATGACTTTACTTGCGGGGGATTAAGTCTTTTCTTTTCTGAATTGATTAAAAGATATCCGCTAAACATACAACAATTATTTGAAGCCAATAAGATACGAACACGTGGCTACATTTTATTAGATCCTCACTGTGTAGAGAAATAATGGATTTCTCCTCAAGGAGATATCGAAAATAATAGTTAATCAACAAAAGTACATTTTGTCAAGAATTCCTTTTTTGTTAATATTAAGACGCAAAATTCATTCATGATCCGGTTCATTATATCGATTAAATTTTCTCTTTATATTTGATGTTTGTTTACTTTTTTTAAATCATGTAGAACGTGCAGTGTTAAAAATATATGAAACTGGATTTTTAATAGTAGCCAAATTTCCGCCCTACGAACAGAAAAATATGTTGTCATAGAAGTTCTCTTATCACTCAAATTTCAGTTTAAACAACGGTTTTAGCCTTACATTTTTTAAAAGTTCTTTTTGTTATTATGCTAAATGCACTTGAATATGTTCTTCTGGGTAGCTCTGATCATGAGAGAAATATTTGAATAATTTTATGATAACAATTCAGCAGACTTACTACTTTCTGACTTGTTTAAATAATCCAGTAGTTTTAAGAATATCTAATTAAACAGATTATTATGACTTATTTTGATAATTCTTTAATTTTGGGGGCAATGTTCAAAAATGCTTATTACGGACGCTAAAAGATTTCTAACGACTGAATCTTGACATGATAGTTATAAATTTTTCTATATAAAATTCAGGGTTACCCATTCCTACCCAGACTCATTATGGCTATGTGCTCGGTGTCTATATTAAGGACAGCAAAGGCACCAGGAACAATTATGTGAGACCACTTTTCCCTGGCGTGCCATTTGTTGTCATAAAAATTAAATGGAATTGTAGTTGTTCGGTATTGGTTTATCATGGGTACAGGAATCTTCCTCATTGAGTTTCGAAGTTGAGATTCGAAGGGTAGTTAATTCAGGAAAAAAAAATGTATTTATCGTTTGCTTTGTTAAGTAATTTCGGCATTGTGCTTTTTGAACATTCTCTTGTGTCAAACTGTTTCTGTCAAAAGAATGAATATTATCTGAGGAGTAATGACTAATTATTCATTTTTCTTTAATAAATGAAATAGAATTTTAATCGTTAGGCATGTGTTTATTATGAGGTATAGGAATCTTCCCCGTTGAGTTTAGTTCAGAGTTAGAAAATGAAAGTTAAGTTTTGAAAAAAATGTATTTATTGTCTAGTCCGTATAAAATTCCTGTAGTTGTTAGCCCAGGGATATTCCCAGTTTTGTTAAAATTGTTTAATCGTAGCATGGAAAAGAAATGTTTCCTAGTTAAAAAGAAGCGGTGAGCGACAATCACCATCAGCCCATCAGCATGAGGAAGCATTTTGATGTTTTGATCAAGAAAATACGTTGCCATTCACTTCAACCTTAACAACCATACGGATTTCGCACCTCAATAGTCAATGCGTATGCTTTAACTGTCATGATGCCTAGAATCAGTTCACATGTTGATGCTAAACCCATCATGAGATATATTACCTCAGACAATTCAACAACTTTTACATGGGGTCATAAATGGGGTTGCTACACAAACTCCTCACATGTGGCTTTTTTCTCTACTTCAAGTCCTTCCTCTCGGGTAGATCCATGAAGTCATCTGACGGCTATAAAATCAATGCAAGTATCACTCAAGTCCCTTTCCTCGGTTCTATTCTTTTTCTGCTATATATTAATTATCTGCCTTACATTCTCAGATTACTAACATATATATATATATATATATATATATATATATATATATATATATATATATATATATATATATATGTGTATATATATATATGTATGTATATATATATATATGCATATGTATATATATATATGTATATGTATATATATATATATGTGTATATATATGTGTATATATATATATGTGTATATATATATATATGTATATATATATATATGTGTATATATATATATGTATATATATATATATATATATATATATATATATATATATATATATATATATATATATATATATAGGTAGTAATCCGTTGGTATATAATACAAGTGAATCCTATTAACACAATATAAAATATTAAATATTAAAACTGATTTAAACATAGAGCTTAATGTTTTTTTATAATAAACAGAACAATACATTTCCTACTAAGAGTTTTTTTTATTTTAAAATTATCCCTATGATGTGTGTCTTCACCCTGTCTGTATATATATATATATATATGTGTGTGTGTGTTAAAAATAGCTTGTACTGAATATGCTCTGAGGAAATCGAATGCTTCAGGAAATATCCAGATATTCACAATGACGAAAGGATCGAGCAAAGACATAGAGAACAGATACAAATGATGAAATATTGAATACTGATGTCCTCAGATCGGAGAGTAATTGTGTGATTAATAGCAGAAGAACGAAATATGAATAGATTTGCAGGTCCTAAAAATGATTTATGAATCATGAAAAGAAAAAAAATAATATAAACAATGAGATAACAACATGAACTGAATTCCGACATGACACGTGAAGACGCGATCCTTGGAAAAAGATGAAACCTGATAGAGCATAAAACAATAATAATGGCTTATAAAAGCAGATATTGCATATAAATTGATCAATTTACATTTAAACCATCACTGGAAACGAGGAAATGTTCGAAAGTATAAAAAAATAAATAAATGAATAACTCTCGTTGATCTTTAAGCAGACTTGTAGAAATTAAAACTTACTACCTAAATCCATCGTATATTATATAAATATATCTGTAATGAGCTCGCTCTCGACTTGATATTTATGATCTGGTGTTAATAAGAACCTATCCAATTATGCAGTCATCCTGAAGTTCTTATCGAAAGGCGAAAACGATTTAGTGTAAACTGTCAGCCGAGTGGCCGTTTGGTCTTCATCCTTGTTCACGCTTGATCCTTTCGCTTGTCTCAAATACCATTCAAATCAAATAATCACAGAACATTCCAAATCTCGAACGGCGGCCAATAATAATTTCAAAATGTGGCACTTCTCTCTTATTAAATTCCGTGTGATTCCTCTCAAAATATGCTTCCGGTCTGATATCCTTAGTAATTAAATTCCAACCTGCGCGGGCGACAGTAGAATAGGCTAAATTTCCATGCAACTACGGATAGATATTGATTGCATTTGCAGGTATACTGATTCGAATTAGTGCTGGATATGTAAGTTCAATCATCTTCTAACTTTGGTTCACCATACACAGAATGGAATTAAGGGGAATAGACGCCATTCCAAAACACGAACGAACGTTGTTCATTATTATACACGCATTTTTATTCTATTCCCTCTAGTTTTTAATTTTTTATTTTCTTTGTTTATTTTCATTTCTTTTGTATTAAATATTTAACTCAACTTGCTAAGAAGTGACAGTTTCTTGATGACTAGATTTGGCGTTGAGAGAATGAGAGATAGTGTATGTATCTGTGTGTGAAAGAGAGAGAAAGAGAGAGAGAGAGAGAGAGAAAGGGAGAGTGAGTGTGTGAAGGAGAGAGTGAAAAGGTTGAGGGCTGGATATATAAGTGCAACTATATTCTAACTTTACTTCACCTGATCCAGCGTGAACTATCCAGGGTGAATATACGCCATTCAAAAACACGAAGGAAGTTCTAGTCTTATTTGGGAGGGGTATTTTTTCTGAATAGGAGACATTCAAACTTATAATAAGTTGAAATTTAATATTGAATAACAATTTCTGTTCCATAACTGGCCCTAGCACATATACTCTGAACCAACGATACATATAACCCTGCAGCCTTTGCACTCAACCTGCTTCCTTATTGCTCACGCTTCGTGTGGTCATCCGAATAGATGATTAACGCGGCTCAAGCCGTAGTTCCACTTGTCGTGGATGGGACCGACTAGAGTTGGTGCCGCGATAAAATCACCTAGGTTCCTGTACTGAGATCAGGTTAATAGGAGTAGATATGCTCAACTACAGTCCGCCCGCTCTCCTTCCACGTCTTTTGAACAGGAGTAGAGGACAATATCTGGTTCTCTGTTTAGGATATAGCTTACCGGTTCTTCCTTAAGCATTTCACATCACGGAGCATTCTTTCAGAAGTAATGTGGCTTTCATTTCTCTAGGTGAACTGCTGATTTTCTGGCGATGATCGCATAAAGAGTCTATTAAATTCTAAATGAGAATGGTGACGCTTGTGCTGTTGCTTTGGGCATCTCGGAAGCTTTTGACAGGGTTTTGCATGCAGATCTTCACAAATTGAAAAGTTATGGTGTCTTCGGACAAATTTTCGAAGGGATCCGGTCTTTCTTATTAAAACGTGAAATGAAAGTTATATTGAATGGCCACTTTTCTAGATATTTTTGTACTAATGCAAATGTCCCTCAGGGTCCCATATTTAGTCCTTCTTTATTTTTGATTTTCATTAATGATCTTCCCAATGGCATCAGCTTTCAACTCGTTATCTATGCTGATGATTCAAACATTTACTTCTGTCTCGATACTAAGTTTGATCGATATGATAAGGTCAAAATGGCGGTTGATGTAAAAAACGACATCTGTTGTTAACTGGTGCAAAGTATGTTTTTTTTTAATTTGAACGCGTCCAAAATTAACTTCTCCCTATTAATAATCTGAGAGACCATTTTCTGTATTCCATCAGTATGGCTGATACTAATCTCCGAGAGAGTGAGTTGTTGTGCCTTCTCGGGCTTAAGTTTTTGGCTTACATGAAGTGGGAAGACTATACTGAATCTATTGCTAAGTCAGCTGTTAAGAAAGTTGGTTCACTGCGTCGTGCGAGACAATTTTTCTCTCCAACATCTGTCTTATATATCTATAAGTCTACTATTCGTCCATGCTTAGAATATTGCTGCCACATATGATTTTGGTGCTTCCACCATATATCTAGAGTTCCTTGATAAACTCTAAAGAAGAATCAGCAAAATTATTGGCTCTGATCTGGCGTCTCAGTTTCAGTAATTTTCTCTACTGCTGTAAAGATGCTACTCTGTGTTTTTTTTTTATAAATAATTGTGTGGCAACTATTCGGAGGAACGCTTTGCAAGAGAAGCTAAACTTTATAAATTTAAATGCAGTACTGGACTGACAACCAAATCTCATCAATATACAATTCTGCTGGCTAAATGTAGCCGTAAGTTCTATATTAACAGTCTCTTTTCCCGCACTTCTCGCTTTTCTCGCTATCTTCCGACTCCATGCTTTCCAGCCAACTTTAATCTGCAAAAATTTAAATGCAATGTCAATCACTTTTTACTGCCCTCATGATTACCTTCTTTTATACTTGATCCTTAGAAATGTTTCTATTTTTAATTCTTCAACACCCATTAAGTCCTTGTGTTCTAGTGTCTTCACCGCCTTACGAAGGGTGATATCAGTTTTAAAAATATTGCAAGAAAAACTAAATCAGTGTACTGTCAGAATTATTAGAGTGATTCTTACCGAAACATTTTTGAAAAAGTTATCCGGCCTAAATTTAAGCGACCAAAGGCTTCTGAACATTTATTGTTCACTGCTTGAATTCATCGAAAGTTCCTAATGTTGTTCAAAATGCTGATGTAGGCGATAGAAATTTGAAAAGTACACGATGGAAATGTTCAACATGTCAATTATCAGGAATCCAAGTTTCACGACGAGGTTAAGGCCACGCGATTTTTGGCCACATTTCCAATTTCTTTTCTTCGAAAAGAAAAAAATATATATCTTCTTATCAATGGAGTCATCGTTATGTAACTGATAAGACCATTGAATAATATCAATTGATTAATTTTGCACTGATTACTTGAATGTTTTCCCTTTAAACATATGGCTCTGAAACATTTAAACATAACGTACCACATCCCAAATAAATCTTCAGAAATCAGCGTTCTTATTTTTTTTCCCAAGAGGCTAATGTGCTGACGATGAGTGGAGGATCTATGCTGATAACATAGGTGTTCATAGATTGGTGATGATTAGTACACCAATCAACGGTATTTACCAAATATTCCAAGAAGTGGGTGTTCAAATAAACATTTTCAAAACAGAATCTATGATCTACATTTGGGATTGGAGCAGCTATGGCCTACACTCAGAATCAATTATGAAATTTCCAAATATGAAATTATTAAATTCGAAGTTCGAATATTTCGGTGTATGGATTTGTTATAGCAAATTTAGTATAAGTGGTAAGGAAAATGAACACTTCAGATGCACTAAGGTTACTTTTCTGCAACACTGCAGGATACTATAAAGTCGAATTAACATGAAAAAGAGTCATATTCTTAAACTGCCTGGTTGGATTTAGTCTTTTATATGAATATTGCACCTGGCGTCCAGAAATGTCTAAATTATCCCGTGTACAACCATTCAGTTTGATTATTAAAATATCTTCAAGCGAATGAATATTGTAGCTTTGAAAGAAGACAATCCTTCATCAGAGCTTATAGACTGGTGATACAAAATAAATAATAATAATCAAGACGTTAAGTTACCACATTACCGGGTACACAATCTTCTTCACTCTTTTGAACAGGAGTAGAGGTTTATTGCTTGTTTCCTGTCTAGGATGATGTTTCCGGTTCCTTCTAAATTGTTCTCGTTTTCTTTCACTCCCAGTAGCCACTTGCGCCTTAGTAATGCTGAATGTTTGATATTTTTAATATTTTTAAATGTTACACGTGGATAGACTAAGAAATTTTAAACGACCCTCATATTGTAACAGGGTATCTTTTTCAAGCTCATAGTAAGTTGACTAATTACATGTTTATAACTATGAAAATTTCAAATTTTTGTTATTTTAATACTTGCCCAAAATCTATCAGTCTATATGACTACATCATATCTTTTGCTGTTTTTTCATGCTAACGACTTGTTTATGTCTTTAGTTTTCAGTCGTTTGTTACTGGTTCATACCCTCGATGCAAAGAAGAATTGCCGTTTATAAATCATTCATTATTATTTTTCATTAAGCTAACAATTTGTGACTTCATTTGTTAATGCAATTGAAATTATTTGGTGCAAAAGTTTGTCAAGATTGAATGTTTGACGGATTGGCCAATCAAACCATTTGTTCGATGATTCGTTTGAGCCCCAATTTAGATAGGTGATTGGCGGTAACGGTTTGTAGAAATGATGCCAAGAAGACCGCCAACTCTTAAGATGTGTAGCCAACGTATGTGTGCGTCATTTTAATGAGCGCTGTTTCAGTCATTAAGGAATTAGACAGAGGAAGCCAATCAATACTATTCAAATTCCTTTAGCAAATAGCTTATTTTCTAAATCGTAGGAAATGGCAAATCGACTTCCACGTGGACCAGTTGATGTAAACAATATCTGGAAACATGAAAATATAAGAATAATATCTAGCAGCATAAAAGCGTTTGATTAAATTCAGCACTAAGTTAATTTTGCTACACACACACGCGCGCGCACACACAGACACACACACACACACACACACACACACACATATATATATATATATATATATATATATAAGTGCTGTGAGTAATTATAAAACAGTTCTCAATGCAGACCATTTACATATCTCAAGCTGTCTGTCTATATTTCTGAGATGAGGTATTATGTACATTATTTACACAAGGACACATGGCACAGTGGATAAAGGCGTTGATTAGATCCAGTGATAGGACCCAAAGAGTGTGAGTTCAATACCCGGTTAAGACAGTGGAGAACTTTCAGAGGGAAATTAACAGGAGATAACTGATAGCTGACATCCATCAAACATGGCACGTGGAACTAGAACAGTCTACCCCAGTGAGCGAAATAAAGGGTTCAGTTCGACATTCGAACCACCTGAAGAAGGCCAAAACGTTGCGATAAATATGGCGAAAAAGATGAGGACAATAGTCCCAATAATGTAAATAATATCTCAAGCTGTTTAGTTCTTTTATCCTTAGGATAAATTATGTTTGAAATTGAAAATATGATGAATATTACGTTTAACTTAAAAAAAGGATATATTACTTTTAAGAAATATGGAATTGAATATAATGTACAATTATTATTTTTTATTGTATATATTATGAATATCATATTTATTTGTATATCTGTTATTTTTTCAACTTTTTCCAGAGTTACTCGTTTTTTCTGTATTAGTATTTATTTGTCTTTGTATAACTATTTTGTATCATTCTCTGCTTTTATTCATTTTTATGAATTGCTAGTTTCAGTGTCAGTACTGTCAACAAGGCAATATAGATTATATTTCGAATGTTATAAATAATAGTATCGAGTTATTTTAGGCTTAAATCCCGTTTCATATTTTTTATTTCTTCTTCCACAGTTATCAGACTGCTCGATATTTGCGTTTCTTTTACACACACACACACACACACACACACACACACACACACACACACACACACATATATATATATATATATATATATATATATATATATATAATATATAATTTAAATTTTTGTGAGCTTCTACACATGAGATGTGAGTAATGTTTATATATGTTTTAAAAGGCTGTCATAGCCAGGGGTGCTAATGGAGACCATTGTCCATAAAATGTTTCTG